CTTCGGCTAATTCAAGGTCGCGAAGATCTGCCAGCAAGGAAAGATGATCCACATAATAGCTGCCTCCTTTCGATGGTCGAATGGCCTTTCATAAGGGATGAGGGTAAGATAATAGGAATATCTTGCATGTATATGAAAAAAAGAAATATCAAACAGGCTTAGGCAGTCTATTTACGGTAAAAGTAAGATCTAACAGAGTTCGAGACTAAATGTATGAGAAATTAAAGAATGGTATGATGCAGCAACAGGCTAAGTTTTAGGCAAACTAGATGTAGTGGGCTTACGATGCAAATAAATTAATTTCTATATATTCCTATATTGGGGAATTAGATGAGTCCATAAAGAAAACACAGAAAGAGACAGACGGTGCATGCGGAAATTTGCACAGACAGGAAGGAGTATTAGGTAAGCCAATATCAATTTCATATGCAGCTTTTTAGGCATGAATGTACTGTTTATCTGTGGTAATTCGTATAAAATACCTTTGTTTCTGATACTAATCAATTTTGTATTGAAGTTAATCACTTCCTTTGAAAGGACAAAATTTTTCCACTAAGGATTCCTACTTTAGTGGAGAAAGGAATGTGGCAAACTGCTGGCCCTTATAAAGGACTTAAGATATAAATTTGTGCAACGACCAGCTGGGAATGATTGACGCTGGAGGCAAGATAGATAAGCATTGCATAACTATTTGAATGAGGATTGTAAAACTGCATTCTTAAAGTTGGAGATGATTCAGCGAACGACAAGGACTATGAAAAATCGCTTCAACAAGCCAGAGTTACCTAAGATATTTTCACTACTAAAAATTAGTTTGGATTCGTACAGCTTACTTAAAGTGTGGTATGAAATTGTGTGTGTTTAAGTAAACCTGAATCATGCACTGTGAAAATTATTGCCCTCCCAATATAATATTTCTAAGGTTCATCCTAACATAAAAATGAATAGTTAGAATAAAAGCACCCTCTTTTAACAATATACAGCTCACTTTCAGATCTACCAACCCCATATAGCCGAGACGATAAATATTGGAGGCACCACTATCCCATACGATAGAAACAGCACTATGCAGCGCCCATGCGTACCAATTGCGTCTCTCCGTCACTCTGCCCTGAGTAGGTACAGCAATAAGGCCGGTTGCTACTACAGAACCACCTGAGTCACCATCGTTGACACCACCTGTTGATGCTATTCGGGCCATTAAGGAAAATTATAGTTGATAAGTTAGAAAAGAAAGAATATATTTCTTAGCAAAATAACATATAAAAGTATTACAGTAAAGTTAAAATAAATCAACTTGAGAAGTTGGATTTCATTAGGGCCATCAAGAAAAAGTAGGTCGAAAATTGTTGTCTTATTTCAACAAATATAAATTCGCTGATAAAGTTGACGAACTTAATGGGTGTTGCCCTTTAATACACATTTATTATAGATGGGAGTTCTCAAAAAAAGAAATAAAATGTTTTCTCCAATAAATTACAGGAGTCCCTCAGCAATAGCCCCAAGTTTATATAAAAAGCAATACATACTTATATAAATAGAAGTTCTATCATAATACAATGAAAATCGGAGAGAATAATAAAGGAATATAGAACAGTAATAAGTTGTGATTTCTAAGGCCCTGTCACCAAAAAAGTGCGGCTAAAGATATGTATTTTCTGTATGCTTATTTTTATTTTTTTGGTTTAATTTTTACAACTATGATCGTGAGAAAAAATAAAATTACATGTTTCAAAATTTTAGGTAATTCAGGGTTGCTGCTGGATGGTTTGTGTGGCAAGTTTAGAAGCCTCTGAATTTCCGGGATGTCAAAATTTTAGGACATATTGTCTTGCCAGTATATTAAGCCTTCATATACTAACCCCAAATTATGTAAGATAATAGTCGCATGTTGGTTGGTAATAAGTGCTTGTCATTTAGGAACTTAAGAAAAGATAACTCTAAATAATTAATCTGTATCGGCATCCATATATATATATATATATATATATATTCCTCAAGCCAGGTAAATGGAAACGTAGTAGTTATTTTAGATTGAGTATTAGTGTAGAATAGGAACAAGCATACGCATCAAAAGGCCTCCACCACTTCCACCATCTCGCGATTCAAGTCCCGAGTTCAGTAAAGTAGCACTGTTCGAGTTAGCTTGGTGGGAAGCCGAGGATAGAATAGACTGACAGTCCTGGTTGCCCCAGCTCCAATCGATGCCGCGCACCACGCGGGCCTTCGGAAAGATACCGATTGCCTCAACCTTGCGAGATTTAAGTCTTCTACCTACATCAACTCTAAATCAAGATAAGAGGAAAATATATAAAAGCATATGAAATCTTAAAGCCAAACAAAGGAAAATAATTCTAGCGCCAGAATTGCGAGCATTCAGTATTTTTATGAAAAGCGAACAACAATGAGAGCCAATAAAAAATGATTATACTAATACGGATAGTCATAAACCGAATATAGTTACATAACATTTCTATTATATTATGTATTTTGAGAAATAGGCACTAAAAATAAACGAAATTCGAAGAACACAAAGCAGCATATATATTGGAGCAATTTGAAGCGAAAATGAAATTTCCTTGTAGGGTAACCAAAAAAGGATAGTAGAAATATTAATAAAATCTTTTCGATAACTTAAGAACAACATTTTGAGCCCAGGATTGATTCTAGCCAGAACTATATAGCTAAAATACTCGTTATTCATGGATATTGATTTAGGCTTGACGGACGTATTAAACGTTGCATTTTTTAAGCTAAATATAGTTTCTCTTATGGATCCTTAAATAAAAAATAACA